GAAAAATAAAAACAATAATCGTGATTGATATTGAGTAAGAACATGTTTTTATGAACCCCACAGCTTCCGGTCTTCCAAGACCCGAACGGACAAAAAGACGTGCTGCAGGCACAAAACATACTACCAATAGAAATACATTGCTTTTAAAATCGTTCTGTGTGACACGAAAAAAAGGGGAAAATCGTGTTGGTGAACAGGAATCAATAGATTAAATGTCATGACTATAACACGAAATGCCGTGAGACTGGGTTGAAAAGACATCATACATGGAAATCACACAAGCAGGATGTGTGACCAAACAACAATATATTCTAATACATTTATGTAACAAGAAGTAAAGTAATATCTGTCAATCAATTTAGTAAAGTTTGCCTCATATTCCATGTTTTTATATTGCTATTAGTTAAATATGTCCCAGAATGTTAATCAACTTCATACTGTACACTACCTGTAGATGTTATTTTTCATGTATGTGTCACCAGTGACATTATATACATGAATACTTTCATTTATCATTTTTTTTAACACATTTAAACAAATGAGAACCTGTTAGCAGGAAATACCCCTCTACTGTATATTAGCAACATACCAAAACAAGATTGCTTAAGTAAAGTATTAAATCAACTTTTTGCTGTACATTTCTGTATTCAACTCACCCAATAGGCTCCAAGGCAGGAGAAAGATTTATTCTGTCTTCAAGTTGGTGGAGAAATTCCAATACAAAGAGTATTTTATTACTGTTAGACCAGACGCAGCAGCATGTGAAAAAGGTTGCTGCTGCAACTTGTTATCGTGTTTTCACGGAGTGGGAGTGAACTTTATAATGAGGGCCTTAGCCCGACATTTCAAAAATATTTTATTTCTACTGCGCACTTTATTATCAACCAAATTATCAACTTAAACCGACAAACAAAGCAACCTTTTATTGGTTTGGATTCATTACTATTGCATCATCTGACAACGAAAGTGTCCGTCCCCAAATGCACTCTGGGTTAAGATAAGATTTTCTTTGTTCTTGAAATTTGATTTGATCCTTGCCAATTTCATTTTCCTTTTTGTACCCTATACTCACAAAACTTTGCACAAACAACACAAAACGGGGAGATAAAACAACATTGCGAGATATATAGAATGTGTGTGTGTACATAAAATGTACCAAGCTCTAAAGCACCCATTGCTGAATGGTATTGATTGTAACAAAGTTGCTCCGATATTCACTGGGACGTAAGTAATAGAGTGGTGCAGTGACAATTCCTAAAACCCGGAAGTGAGGTAGCATTTTACCACTACCGGTTCCCCGGTCTCAGAGTCAATGGGATTTCTCCATAGGATTTTGGAAAATAGCTCGAAATAAGTTCTGTGATTGACACAAATTTAAGAGACGGATCACGTTTTGTTCTACGACATTAAATACATCAGCAGTGACCCCACTGGCGATTTTTTAAGAGTTTACGTGTCTGAAAAATGATGGTTGTCAACAAGTGGCTGAATAGGACAACAGAAGTTGTCGAGGACGTTGTACGTCATAACGCCGAACACGTAAACAATCCCTCTAAGTTTGTTTGCCCCTGTTCTGCTTGAAAGCAAGTACCTGCGCTCTTGCAAACTGTAAAAACAAACGCTTCAACTTGTACACTTTTGAATCTGTATTTTTGAATATGGATCTTAAGCAGGGTTCGAGTTATAAACTGAGCTCTATGGGGGTCTTTAAAACTAACGCAGGCGCGCACGCACACTGTCACAGGCATAGATTGCGCAATAATGTATTGCGCACCTTGGAGGAGCAGACTCCAAATGATGGTATATATTGCACACCCTTGCGAGTATACAATTAGTGTCTGATGTGTTAGGGCTTCAAAGATAATTACAAAATCACAAAAACTGAGGAACTCTGTACTTGTGGAGCGTCACAAACAGCGCCTCCGTTTATTACGTTTTACTCTCTCTCCACAACTTCAGGACAGACTGCACATGCTCAAACACATGAACTCGTACACAATCAATAACAACGTAAGAGCAATACAAATTAAAGAAAATACAAAAATTAGCTCACAGATAAAACGAGAGAGAGAGAGACTGACTTCACTGCTAATTACGTGGTCCAACAAACCAACACATCCTCACCTCCAGGTCGGCCTATGTTGACGTTATGTCAAGTCCCCTGTGTCGGCTTTTTCCAACGCAAGGGGCCGGCCCTTAGCGTACATTTTTAACTTTCCGGGATGTCCATAGGCTTCTATAGAGCTCCCTAAACGTATGTTGTAGACGACTTGAGATCGTGAGCGAATGCTACCCGCAGATCCATTCTCACAGCGTTTATCAACCTTTTTCTAACTCAATATCAAGCCACACTTATTGTTTTTACTTCTTTATTTTAATTGAATAATGTAGGACTTTCGTTGCTGTCAGTTATGGGGAGAGTAGGGGCTCAGAATACTGACATCTGTATTGTTTCATCGTTTTTTCCTTCTAATTTTGTATTATTTTCTAAACCACACACTGTTATTTCAACCATAGGTTATTACTCAATATCAAGCCACGATTATTGATTTTATTTTTAATCGTATAATGTCGGACTTTTTTTGCCGTCTGTGAGGAAAAGAAATGTGGCTCAAGAGCATCAAAATACTGAAATCTGTATTGTTTTTAATCTTTCTTTCCTTCGAATTTGTTATCCTTTTCTAAATAACATTTTACTCAAAAATAACACATTATTATCCTTGTTTTTATTTATTCGTTTAATTCTATAATATTGGGCTTTTTAGCCGTCCGTCAGGAACTGATTTTCAAAATAAAGTCACCGGGAAAAGACGTAGGCCCGGTTCAAGCTCGATGATTGGATGTTGTAGCCGCAATGCAAGCTGGGATATGGTGTTTCCCACATAGCACGTTTCGTTAAAGGTCCACTGGACGCAGCGCAGTCCAATTCGAGAAGGCGATTCGCCTTAAAAGAAGAAGAAGAAGAAGAAGAAGAAGAAGAAGNACATCATGCTTTATCTTAATTAATTGGGAACATTTTTGCTGTGTTATTTGTAAGAACGTGCTGTCAAATAGGCTAGCCAGTGGCGTGCATGAATGAAGTCCGAACAATATAGCATTCTCCCTGGTACACATCAACATGAAGTGAGCTAGTGTATGGCTAGCAATGATAGTCCCTGTGAGGTTGTGTGAAGCCTCCTCGCGCGTTCTGCGGCTCGAGTCTATTGTAGGAACTGTGAGGTGTCTAAGTAACTAAGTTACATTTACCTCAAAGTAACTGACTTAAGTACCAGCCTTTGAGGTACTTGTAATTTACTTGAAGTTTTCAATTTGAAATGCTACTTTTTGCTTCTACCCCACTACAGTTCCAGAGGTACATGTGTACTTCCTACTCCCCTACCAATGTATTGAATACTTTTAGTTATTTCACATGTGGACTGAATTATGTGAAATATAATCAAGTGTTAAATCCAGACTTTAGTTCCACCTGGAGTAAATTCACAAGCTTACCGCTGCAGTAATACAAAGTCATTAACTAGCTGCACCTTTACCAGCCTTTGAGAACACTTTAATGATCAATCATTATAAAACATATCCGATGAACTATTATGTCTGAAAATGGGACCAATCTGCACAATGACTACTTTTACTGTCCGCTACTTTTCACACTATATTTTGATGAGAAACTTTTCTACTTTTGCTTGAGGAACAGTTTTGAATGCAGGACTTTTACTGTAACAGAGTATTCCTACACTGCTGGTACTTTCACTCAAGAAACAAGGTCTGAGTCACTTCCTACTTTTAACTAAAGTAAAAGATCTGAGTACTTTCTCCCATCTCTGTTTACTGTAGGAAACATGGATGAAGGGACTTCAAATATAAAAGCAAACTCTGGTGTTTCCTGGAAATTATACCTTTTTTGTTAATGTCAGTAAGTGTGGCAAAATGAAACGTGAAAAGGATATTTTACTAACTGAATTGGTACCATTTATATATATCAAAGGAAATAGGCCGTGTTGCCTGGCAATGGGTTTCCACTTTCAGATGAAGCATATTTTCAGAATGTCAATGAGGTCAATACCGGACACTCTGAATTGGATTATTTCAAAAATAAAGCCCTTCAAATGTGCTAATGTACGCATTCGGTTTGAATGAAAACAGGGGAGGTAACTATAGAACCACAAGCTGTCTTCACCGCAAAGCCTTTGCACCTCACCTCACAGATGCATAGTAGATCCGGTCAGAAAGTCTCTGAGCCACTATCAGGACATTCTATTGGAAATTGAAGATCTGTGTAATGAGAGCAATATGTTCACATTGGTGTTGTAAATAATATCAAAGAAATAGCCCTGTTGCCCAAATCGATAGCAGACCAACTATAGTGGGGGTATAGTATAGTAGTGCACTTTGGATTACCATTCAATCTTAAGCCCAAAATATATCTCCCCTTAAAAAAATGTGAAGATGAAGAGCAGCCATTTTCAGATTTGGATCAGATAGAGACAGAGAATGGGTTTAAGGTTATGGGGTTTTGTGGTTTTTATAATATTGAATGGATTAGTATTATGCGCCCATTATATTGATGACAAACTGCCATGGACTAAATTTAACTAATACCAAGATAGCTCATGTCCAGACAAACGTTTATTTAGTACATGCCGAACATACATTAAGGCTCTGTTTATTATATCAACCAATGCCTGCTCTCTGACAGCTCCAAACTCGTCTCCTCCTTTGAAAGGTTTTGTGTCCAGAGTGGAGGAGGTGCTGAATGAATGGAAGCTGATCGGCCCCTCCTGCTGCAGGGAGTGTGAACCCAGAGAGGTCTGCTGCTCCTCATGAGGCATCACATGTTCACATGACAAACACCAGTAGGTTCTTCAACTTTACTCATTGTCTCATTATTCTTTTGTTTGAACATAGGGTGAATACACCTTTGGCACCTGGGGGGAAAAGTGTCCCTGGATATCAACCTTTGCTGACTTTAAGTTCTAACATTACTCATTACTCTCCTGAAACAAACGAGTGTGAGAAGGACAATGGGAAAGGACAAGCTGGAGGAAGGTACACTTAATCTCTGAGGTCGCATTTCACACACTAATAGTCGCCCGGTCTCTGGTGCGCACCAGACCACAGTTTGTTTCATTGGTTTCATTTTTTCAGAGAAGTTTGGTTTGCGTTCACACGGGCAAAACTCAAACGGACTATAAACTTTACAACACAAGTCATGTGGCACGGAAATGCTGTCAACCATTGTCAGACATTAAAGGGGGTAAAAACGCAAGTCCCGGCATTTCTACCCGGAGCGCTCCGCCATTGGAGCACGGCACTTTCGGCAGGTTATTCTCATGCTGCTGTTATCTGGAGAGGCATATCAACAGCAACGGCGCATATGATTATATAAATCAGACAACGTCCGTACAAAACATTATAACACATATAATGAGAGACGTTCTTGCAGCAAGGAGGGCGCGTTTCACCGACGACAGGTGGTTCTTATTTGTATGTATTAGTTTTTTAGTTTGGATAGTTGGTTGTACTTTTACACAAAACTGTTCAAACACTTCATTCTGCTTCACTCTTTCGCTAACGATTTTGAAGAAACCCGCGTTCTTGTGACACCGTAAATACTACACTTCCTATGTTTTGCTGTGCGGACTGCGTTCAAACCAGCAATGAACCGTGCTACACTTTACTAGCAAGCGCTCCGAGACCACCTATTTTAGCGGACCAGAGTCCGGTTGTTTAGTTCACTTAAGAGGTCTCGGAGTGTGTTCACACCGACCCAAATGAACCGCACCAAGCGGCTAAACGCACCAGGGTTCGATTCAACCGGACTATACAAGGCAGGTGTGAATGCGACCTTAATGTCCCATAATATGTTGTTTACCTCATGAGTAAAAAGCAAGGTTAGTAGTTGCACTTTAACTTAATGTTGTACAGTTGTGTGTGTGCTTTTTGCATATCCCCTTTCCATATTGTAGGCATAAAGCTTAGGCCTAAAGACATTGTAAAAAACATAATGTATTTCCTCAATCTCTTCTGGACAAAAACCTATTGAGTCCTAAAAGTTCAGAAAGGCAGTAAAAGTGTATAAGAAAAGTCCAAATAAACTGGAATCAGTAGTACTGCTTGTTAAACAATTATAATGGAGTTTAATAAGGAGAAGATCTTCATTTGTCTTTTATCATATTTTATATATTCCCTATGTTTCCCACACGCCATTATAATGGCCACATGTCTTAATTCCCTTATGCTGTTATCATAGTGAATGTGGACCCTTTCCTCCCCATCACAGTACGTGTGTGTCTAACTCTGGTTGTTGTGTGTAGACTCCTTCCCCCTGGCCATGCAGGACCTTCTGTGTATGAACAACGACTTCCCCCCCCGAGCTCACTGCCTGGTCCGATGGTGAGTTCCTGCTTTTATTATGTTTTTATTTCTGTTCCCTGTCAAGTATGTCTGAAAATTACAGTTAACTACTCAGCTGTACACACTTTAATTTATTTCAAGTTACAGAGGCTCACTTACTTTTTGAATGAAGGCATACCTCATTGACATCAGATAACCAGTCAGAGATTTGTAAACACAATTAAAAATGGGGATGTCATGTTCCTGTCTAACAGCCAACATTGATCAAATTGACTTGAGGGAGTACACATTTTCATTTGTAATGGCATTTTTTACTTGTCGAAATGTTGCCTCATAGAAAGTAGAATGTAACCTAAAACCATCCAGCCACCAGGAGGCCCCATATCATCATCATTATTGTTTTATCACAGCTATGAGGCTGATATGGGTAAATGGGCATTTAGCAATCAAAGGGTCAGGGGTTTGATCCCCAGTCAACATGTTGAAGTGTCCTTGATTGCTGTATAGGCCTGTTTACGGCATTGAAATGTATGTCCTTTGCTTTGGATTAAGGTCTCGTCAAAACAACATCATTTGGTGGGATTGATATGTCAACTATGGTAGAAAGTCTACATATTGTCTGTTGCAAACTTCTATGTAATATAAGCATAAACCAGGCTTCTAAAATGCACACTCACCGATAGTGGACCAGATGGGGAAAGATGGAACAGTGGAGAAGTCTATGAAACTGATACCTGTGTTCTGCTGTATCTTTGTCTCCTCTCTCAGGTACGGCATCAGAGAGTTTGTGGTCATCACTCCAGGAACTAACTGTGAGGCCATCATCAGTGAGTCCAAATGCAACCTGCTGCACAGCTCTGTGTCCATCGCTCTGGCCAACAGCGGCTGGTGAGTCCCCCTCATCTCTATAGACAAACACACATGAAAAGAGCCCCTTGTAAATATTCTGGCTGTGTTTTGTGTTAGTCCAACGAGTTGTTGTTCCAAGAGATGGAACACATTGAATTCTTGAAAGTAACGCCTGCTCCTCTTCCTCCGCCTCTCTCAGCCAGGTGCCCATGTTCGTGCAGATCCAGCAGAAGTGGAGGCGGGTGTATGCTGGAGAGTGCCAGGGGCCGGGGGTGCGCACAGACTTTGAGATGGTCCACCTTCGCAAAGTGCCGAGTCAGTACAATCACCTGTCAGGCCTGCTGGACATCTTCAAGGCTAAGATAGTAAGTGGAACAAGACACACTAGAAACAAATATAATATTAGAACAAATGTGATGTCTCACCCAGCTTTAACTTACAGTAGCTCCCTTCAAGGATTATGTATGAATGGTGTCATTGCCATGGAGCTCATTTCCTGCCATAACTCCACAAACAAACTCAACATGTTTTACAAATGCCCTATGATTGACTAACAAACCCAAAACCCCATCTACAAACTAATGCATTTTGGTTTGTTAATTCTCCAAGTACAAAAACATAAATCCTACAAAGACAATTTGTGGAAAAATCCACAGCATAACCACAGTGAAATATTTGTCAAAGAGTAACGTAATATTTTGTAGGATTTATTTCTTTGTACTTGTTGAATATATTTGAGTCTACTTGTAATACCTATGCTGTTCCTATTTGCAAAACAAGCATTCGTTTTTTTATTGTGTTTAGTATTTGCAAACCACATTGGGTTTGGCAACAAAATATGATCCATACATTGCAACTTTAAATAAGAAGCTGTCTAGAGAATGATGAGTGAGGCAATAAATGCTTGACTGCGCTGCTGTATACGGCTGTCATCTGATTAGTTCCACATAGCAATATCAGCAGTAATCAAGAACATATTTTGAATATGCTCTATCCAAAGTAAAACAACTGCATGTCATACAGACAGAACAAATCATTGTAATAATAAATAATTAGACAGACAGTTACAAACTGTGAAGTCCACTGAGACAAATGTAACATTTGTGATATTGGGTTATATAAATAAACATTGATTGATTGATTGACACATGGTAAAGGTTTTCTGTTTTTTCATAGAATGGAATTATGGTGTAATGTGTCTTTTATTAGACATGCACACTTTGCAATGTCCATGCTGACAGGGTATATTGTGCAGCCCTGGTTCCAAAGTTCCTGGAACAGTTTTGTCAGAAAGGACTAATTCATTTTGTACCTTTTTCTATTGATTGATTTCCTCCTCAGGGTTGTAACCTGTCCCCTCTGCCTCCGATCAACATCGCTATCCGCTTCACGTACATCCTGCAGGACTGGCAGCAGCACGCCTGGCCTCAGCAGCCTCCAGGTACTCGATACATGGGAGGATTTAGAAACACATTATCAGAGAGGCCAACTCAGTGGGCATGTTTAAAGACCAGCTAAAGACACATCTTTTTAGATTAGCTTTTCATTAGCAACTCCCCATTTTAAATGTTCTTTTAGTCTTTATTATTTACCTACCTAATAATAATAGATTTATTTTGTTAGCGCTTTTACAGGTGCTCAAAGTCGCTTTACAAAGATAGTGAAAAGAAAAGAACAGCAAATAAATATAGTTAAAGTCAAATAAAAGTCAAGCAATACAAAAACAATCACACATTAAAAGCCAGATTGAAGAGTTGAGTTTTTGTGAGTTTTTTGAAGGTGGTGAGGTCGGTGCAGTCTCTGATGGGTTGTGGGAGTGAGTTCCAGAGGGAGGGGGCTGCGACGGAGAAGGCTCTGTCCCCCCAGGTCCGGTGATTGGTGCGGGTGGGGATGGATAGGAGGTTGGCTTCTGATGAGCGGAGGCAGCGGGAAGGGGTGTGGTGGTGCAGCAGGTCTGTGAGGTAGGGGGGGGGGCCTGATTGTTGAGGGCTTTGTGCGTTATGAGGAGGACTTTGAAGTTGATTCTTTGACGGACGGGGAGCCAGTGGAGGTTCTGGAGGACGGGAGTGATGTGGTCTCGGGAGCGGGTGTGGGTGAGGAGGCGGGCAGCAGAGTTCTGGATATGTTGGAGTTTATTGAGGAGGTTGGATGGTATGCCGTCGAGCAGGGGTCACCAACCTTTTTTCCGAAGAGCCCCCCAAATGACTCCTGTTGGAAGTTGCGCCCCCCCCCCCACACACACACACACAAGGGGGGGGGCGACCATGACATCCACTGCACAGACATGTCATCACTGCCACAACGACATGTCACACTGTCACAAGACATGTCATCACTGCACAAGTACATGGATGTCACAAGACATGTCATCACTACCGACAAGAACATGTCATCACTGTCACAAGGACATGTATCACCTGTCACAAGACATGGATGTACAAGACATGTCCATCTGTCACAAGACATGCATCACTTGTCACAAAAACATCGGGATGTCACAAGACAATGGGTCATCACCTGTCACAAGGACATTGATGTCACAAGCATTCATCACTACACAACGACATGTTCCATCATGTACAACAAGACATGTCATCACTGTCACAAGACATGTATCACTTACCACACGACAATGTCAATCACTGTCACCCAGAGACATGGACATCACTCACTGCCACAGACATGTCATTACCTGTCTACAATGACATGTCTCAACTACCACACGACATGTCATCACTGTCACAAGGACTGGATGTCCACATGACATGTCATCACTGTGCACAAGACAGTATCACTGTCACACGACATGTCACACTGCCACAAGACAATGTCGTCTTCAGGACGTGCCCCAGACTAAAAGTTTCTGGGCGAGGGCGGGGCGTGGGCGCTGCACGTTATGGTTGGCGGGCGATGGGTGGTGTAATAACGTTAATTCAAGGCGTTGGGCCTGGGCCGGGCGGCGTGTTCTAAGGCGTTGGGCCTGGGCTTGGGCGTATATATATTCGTCATTTGCACGTTATAATTGTGTGCGTTCAACCGACTAAACCGAGTTTTTTCGGCCCTAACAAACCAATAAAAGAACGAGGATCCTACCTGTGGTTTTCGGAGTGGTCGCATACCTAAAAGTCGGAGACTCCTTCACTCAATTAACTTTTACCGACAATGAAGAGGCGATTCTCTCGAAAGGTGGAGTCCGGAAGTCCCTTACACCGCGCGAGTCTGGTCGTCTATCGTACGCGAGTCTCAAATACTAATACCGAGCCCAGGGCCGCCCCCTCTCAGACTCCTAAATTTGTAATTGATTTAATAATAATAATTTATAATAATAATACCGTTGTGGCGTTTGGCTGGGGCGTAAAGTAGAAACAAAATGGGTCTTGGCCTTGGGCCTTTTTTTGATTTTTTTCGCCAGACGCTTTTTTTTATAGTGGGCGTTTAGGTGGAAAAAACGCACCCAGTGGGCAGCCCATGGGCGCCTATGGCTTGGCTACGTCCTGAGACCGCATGTCACTCACTGTCACCAAGACATGGATGGTCACAAGACATGGACATTACTGTCCCAAGACATGACATACGTCACCGAAATTCCATCACTGTCACAAGAAATGTCATCACTGCACACGACCATGCATCACTGTCAACGACAATGCATCACTGCCACAAGACAATGGATTGTCACACCGACAATGTCATCCTGCACAAGACATGGTCCATCCTGCGACACGAACATGTCTACTCGATACTCTAAGTTTAGCATAATGCATAACCGAGGAGTGTCCGAGGTTTACCCTTCGAAAGGGTTTTGAGGTGGGGAGGATTGGAGGGGGGGGTCCTCACAACAGCTTCAGACGGGTCTCTCGGTTTGTTTTTGTGGGTTGTTATCATAATAAAGTAAAACTTATAGTTCTCAATATATGAAGTGTAGTTACCACATCAATTGAAACCCCTGTAAATAAATTTACCTACTAAAAAATATTACTACTAATTGACGTTATTGTGTTACCAAACTTAGATAATGACAATATAACATAGACCTTAACAAACATGACACTATAGTCCTCTCGGTAACATGTTTTGGATGTAATGTAGATGTACATGGTGTACGTCGAGTGTTTCACGAAATGGTTTTACTGGGTATGGTGCTCAATTTTAGTTGTTGTCCTTTAAAGGGAAGTCTACTAAACAAATATGAAACTGGTCCCCTTGTAACGACGTTGGTATATTGGTACAAAAGTCCAATAGTACAGGCCCGTCACCCGTGTCAGTCATTCCCCGAACCTGACAACCCGGCATGCCCAGCGGCCAAGTTCAGGGGCTTGTCTGGATTTATACCTCACACCTGAACGATGAACCTCTCCAGGGTTCAAGTGGAGGACGAGACGGCACAACACGGGAACTTCGTTCCGGTGGCCTGTGGGGGGAAAGGGGTGATGGTAAACGGGGGCCCGCGACATGTTATCGACGGGTGACGAGGATCATGATCCTGAGGGTCCATGAATCCTACCCCATTTACCAAAGTGGTGTAAAGTTACACACACGACACAACGAGACGTACACTCCTGGGTAATTTCTCCCCAAAGTAGGGAAGGGTAAAGATTATCTGTGTTCTTCGAGTTCCATACTAGTATGTTTTATTTATTACTAAAGAGAGAGACTGTCTATTCTCTGTTCTGTTAACCTTAAGGTTACCGTTGGTATATTGTATTATTTTGGGGTATTTTGATCACATATGGTCTTATGTTTATTTTCTATATCATTATGTTTACGTTATTAAGATTATTTCCAAATTTAATAATTCTATATCTTTTTTCTTGTTACATTTTTATTTATTACGATAACCTTTTACAAATGTAATTATTTTATTCTATTTAGGAAATTCTTATTACTTTGTTATATCTCAACTAGTATCTCTACTATAGTAGTAGTAGCGGGTGGGTAAGGCAATGGTTTTGGTAGGTCTTAAAGGTTGAAGTGGTAACTGGTCGTTGTGGGATAGGGGGGGGAGGTAGACGTTGGAGCCTCAGTAGAAGCTGTCAGTCGAGTTTAAGTTGGTGGTTGTATTTAGTGTAGTGGCGGAAAAGGTTGAGTTTTTGTAACGGGCAGAGACGGGTAGTGAGAGGAGGGAGACGACGACTTTTGGACTAAGTACGTAAGTAGTGAAGTGCTGAGCTGATGGCCGTTATCGTAGGAGATGCCGTCACCAAAGGGTGGTACCCCCCGGTTTCTAGCGTCCCCCCCGTGGTCCGAGTCTACTAAAACTCCGGTTTATAGTATAAATCTGAAAAGAAATGTATATTCAACATTGTGTTATGTACTAACAGTGATTTCGGAACAGAGATCTATGTATTGTTTATTTTTTTATTACTAATAATTAAACTTATGTTTAAGTTCAATCATATAGTTTCCGTATTTTTTCTGTCTTTTACATATTAAGAAAGAAAATTATCTTTACAAAGAAGACGGGCATTTCACAGGGGTTTGGTCCGAACAGACCTATTCGCGTAAAAATTTTGTCAGTAACAGGTACGGCCAAAGTCAACCTAATAAACAGTGTCAACGAGGCTAGTCTAACCAGAGGAGGTAAAACACTAATAAATGCTGAAACTTAGGTGTATTTGTGTAGCCGTTTTAGGCGAAATGAAATTCGTACACCAAAATTTGTCAAATTAGGGAAACACTTAACAAAGGTGAACGCCGGTAGGAAATTAAAGAAGTATGTCGCCCTTAGGTTTACTTACTTAGGACTCAGGTTATTGGGTAGTTTCAGTGAGGTTATCACGAGGAATTAATGCGAAAAGTAAGGAGGAAATTGTTTTTATGAACTGTCATCAACATCGTAAAAACTCTGAAACTTTGAAATTAATGG